CCAAAACCCCAAAACCCCAAAACCCCAAAACCCCAAAACCCCAAAACCCCACTTAATTTCAACTCAATTAAATAGATAATAATAAATAATTAAAATATAAAAAATGACAAGTTCTAGACTAGAATTACTAAGAGCTGACTTTGAAATGGTAGAAAACCTTGAAAAAGCTCTTTCGCAGGCATTTTCCTACAAAGATAAATATGTAAGTTTCTAATGGGTAAGTCTAATTAATTTAGCCTAAGGAAACTGTCATCTGCGATATCCTGATAGCTAAATTCTAAAGCATCATTTAGCAAAAGAGTAAGGAAATATTGGACATCTATAATGATAGTGATGGCCTATTTAGAGAGGAAAACGATATCTACTCAGGATAGAAGTATGCCACTGAACAATAGTATCAGAGAGCAGTAAGTCTAATATTTTATGTATTCCTAAACGATTTAATAGCTTTAAACTCAATATGCAATGATGAATTAAGTCAATCATGGACAGGAGGTACCAAAGGCATTGAAGCCAGATGTTTGGAGCAATTTTTATGAGAAATATCATGAAATCGACGTCTTCCATAAGAAGTACAATTAAGCAACTCTAATTGCAGAAAACGATAACCTAGACGCTGAGTCCATGTTTAATAAGATTATGGAGGAGATCATTTAATACTGTGAGAAGACATTTTCTGCAGAGGAAGGAAATGGCAAGTATGTGGACATGCACAGTCTCTTTTTGCAATTCTGTAACATTAAGAAACTCAGGAAGCACAACTCTATCAAGTCTGATGATTACTTGACTTGGCTTTAGAACTTTGATAAATTGTATTTGGTTCCATTGTATCTGAAGAATAGCACCAAGTATGAGAACTATTTGGTTAACTTGAAGGAATATTTGGTTGACTATTTTAAAAAGACCTAACCACTTGTAGATTGGTCCAAGATAGAAGACTAGCAAGAGGAGACATTTCAATCTGAGTGGGAATAGTGCAGTCTGTTTGGTTGGGAGGATACCATTTAGAGAATGAATGGCTAGAGTGCTTAAGAAAAATAACTGAATCCTCTGCATTGCATTGCCTGCAATAAAACATATGCAAGTGATAATGTATTTATGCATCATAAGAAGGGTAAAAACCACATTAAGGCCGTGAATTTGTTAAGTAAAAAGGCATAGACAAATCAAGTGAATTAGTCAGCTGCTTTAAATGATCAGGATTAAATGAAGAGTGAATTCAATGACAATGAGAAGAGGAAGCTTAAGAAAATAGCTCATTTAGAAACTTGGATACTTAGAATGAAAGATTTGCTAGGAGATGTAATACATTCCACTGAAAATCTAATCAGAAAAAAGCAATCCAAACATTACAATGAAATTGAAGCAGATTATGAAATGAACTAGGATTCTAAAAATCCACTCTTGGGAGGAGAGGTAGGCTCTGATGATGACGATGAAAGACCAAAATATAATCCTAAGAATCTCCCAATGGGCTGGGATGGAAAACCTATACCCTATTGGTTGTATAAGCTTCATGGACTTGGCATTGAATTTAAGTGTGAGATTTGTGGAGGAGCAAGCTACTGGGGTAGAAGATCGTTCGAAAAGCACTTTTAGGAATGGAGACACGCCTATGGAATGAAGTGTCTCAAAATTCCTAACACAGTTCACTTTAAAGATGTCGTTGATATTGAGCATGCTCTCAGACTGCATAAAAAGATCTTGTCAGATAACTTCGAGGGCACCTTCAAGCCTGACTTCTAAGAGGAATTTGAGGATGTGGATGGAAATCTTTATTCTAGAAAGTAATATATTGATTTAAAGAGACAGGGAATCATTTGAGTTTTGCAGATTCGAAAGTGATTGTTAGTGAAATAATTAAAGTTAAATTCAAATTTAATTTAATAATGAGTCATAAACTTAACAAATTCCGCAATAATCAGCAAGATTCCAAAGAAGAATCAATGATATCAATGTATCTGGAATCATTACTAGATGTCTCCTGGTACACTGCTGACTCCAAAAAGCCATATTTGATAAAGGCTGGAGCAACAGTCAAAAACGGCTACTCAATATTGATAACTGACCTAGAAAGCACCTACTTTTGTGCAGGTGATAGGGAAGCAATACTTTCTGAGAAAAAGGTATCTTAAAGTTTTCATTGAAATTTCTTAGAAATACAATCCAACCATAGAAACAGAGGATTATCACTAATTAATTTCCTTGATTCATGATGCTTTCAGTAAATATGACAGCAACTCTACTTATCACTTCAACAAAGTAAGTACAAATTAAAATATTTGTTTGCATTTAGGTGAGTAGAGATCAGATTTATTTTAAACTTTAAAAGCAAATGGAAATATACCCGTTTAAATGGGAATTTTACTGCATCTAAATACCTCACGATGATCATGTCAGCATCATTAAGAATTTCTTAGTAGCTCCTTTGATCTCAACTGTGAATGTATTCTATATAATTAGTTTTATGATACTTGCCAGAGCCTTGAAAACAAATACTAAATACTACTAAAGCGGCATTAGACACTTGAACAATAATACAAGGATAAACTTATGACTGAAAAAGAGAAACTTAAGTTTCAATGCTTTGAAAATGATCATACCATTTGGAATAAATCTATCAGTGTGGATGAGACTCTTTACTCAGACTTCCCCTAATTCAAATAAGAGAAAAGTATACAGCAGATCTTCAGCACTCTTCAGAACTCAAGATTCAAAAGTAAATAATCTATGAATAATTTAATAGACCTCTACGGTTAGAATAAGAAAAGAGAATATGAGGATTTGAGTAAGAATCAAGATGAGATAGAACTTGATGATTTGTTTCATGATAATGATCTATGAGACTCTAAGTAAAAACTGAAGCATTTAAGACTGGATGATGATGAAGATATGAAGAAGCCAAAACTCAAGAAAGATAAAGTTCATCCTAGACCTCTATTAAATGATTTAGATGAAGGTGATGAAACTGACCCAGAAGAGGTAAAGAGAAGGTAAGAGATCGAGAGAAAGCTATAGAAAAAGCACTAAGAAGATAGCTAAATAGCTCAGTTATCTTAATAAGATATAAAGAAAAAAAAGCCAAAGAAAAACCTCAAATTTATATGATGGCTTGAGGCTTGATTGATTTGAATAAGTCATAGAATTATATAATGAAGTTGTAAATTAAGTTTAATAAGATTAAGAATTTTATAATAAGGGACATAATTTTCTTGTCTAAGTTTAAATTGCATCCATGTTTTCATGGAAAGCGAATTGATTTAAATCAAATGTCAATGTCCAAGAAGAATAAATCGTTGAAAGGCATGTGATGTCTATCTCCCCCGAATATGAACATCTTATCATGGAACACAAATGAAGAATGACCATCTCTTGCTGAAGGTTTATTTTTCTGGATGTGAGAACTCTTGCTGTTGCCACCATCTAGTGACATTGACAGATTGATTGATAAACCATTTCTGACGTTTCTTCTTTTCTTCATGGCAAGATAATATTGCTCAAAGCTTTAGTTACTATTTTTAAGAATGAATGCATTCTTCATTTGAATTGAGGTAGGAGATGAAAGTGTTTCCTGACCTCTCATATACTTCATGAATTGCTAGTCAGTTATATTGATAGTTGGTTTTCTTGTAAGTGATGATGGTTATGAATTTCTTCTTCCATCTTTTTGAGTTGTTGTAGTCTCAAGTTAATTACCAATGCTTGATTAATTGTTGTTAGTCGAGAATTTTTAAGATGATCTCATATTTAGCTCATGATTTTTACTATTATGAAGTTGAGGCATTGAGGATGTATGCTTCAATTTTTTTGTGTTAGATTTACCCCCTCCAATTAAGCTTGATTTCTCCTCATGTTAGCTATCAGTATCTCGAGCATTCATGGGAGAGTTGCCTCCATAGTAGGAAGGCAACTCGTAAATTTACCATTTATTTGTTGCAAAGTCATAGATAAAAACATCATCTGTTTCCTTAGTTATCTCAAGAATACCACCAAACATTACCAATTTGCCATTAATTAGGACCATTGTGTGACCGTTTCTGCCAGTTGGTTTATTTCCTGATGATTCTATTAGTTACCATTATTTTGTGGCTAAGTCATATTTCCAAAAGTCATCAAGCTTTTCATTCTGTTCATCATGACCTCCAAACAAGTAAATTTGATTTTAATGCTCCATAATGGCAGCACCAATTCTAGGAACTGGTCTATCTCTGGCGTGAGTTTGATGATATTTAGGATCTGTGATGAAATAATCACCTTTGTCTAGTTCCTCCCAATCGTTATTTTCTAAATCATATTTCCATAAGTCATTGGATTTTCCACCTCTTACATAGCCTCCAAAGACATACATTTAGTTATCAGAGCTTATACATGCAGAGTGGTCATCTCTAGCAGGAGGAGTTAGACTCCATTGAGTAGAATCAACAATCGTCCAAACCATAGTATTTAGGTTCAAAGCATAAAGGTGAGGATTTGAGTCAGACTCAACCAAACCTCCATAGACATATAATGAATCGTTATATACGAATCCACTATGATGAGATATTGGTTTTGGTAATCTTCCACTCATATTTGAAACTTATTCCCAGGATGTTGTCCCACCATCCATGATATGCTTTAAAGGCAACTTCCATAGAGAATTATATGCTCCTTCTTTCAGATCTTAGCCTCCAAAGATATATAGGTATTCTTTGTGAATCTCACTTATTTAATAGCTTCTTCTCTCAGGTAGCTTGCCAGTCATCTTCACCTCATACCAGCCCTTGGAAGCATCGTGATGCCCTCCCTTGGCATGTGGGCGAAGTTCATCTAAAGACAGGTCATCTTGATGATGAGTATTGAGTGTGAGCTCGGACATTTGACTTTTAAGATTTAAAAATATTATGATTATTGTTAAAAAAGTGAAATTCACAAATTTATATAATTTTTAGAATTAAAATTAACTGAATGATTTATTTTGAAAATTTCATTGTTTACTTCACATGCCAAAACAACTGGCTCCCCCACATTGATCTTTTGGGTTTTATTCATCATATCGTTGATTTGTACCAAGCATTATGCTCTTCTAAGTTTGAAATCTTTGAACTGTTTGTTTGTGTTTACTGATTAAGTTTTTCGCAATGCTATCAAAAAGGTCATGAACTCCAGTTCCTGTCTTTGCGCTCACCTCTACAAACGTTATTCCCTAGGATTGTGAATAATCCTAGCCAGTCTATTTAGATATTTTGCGACCTTCAGCATAGTCAACTTTATTGCCAACTAATATAAGCTATGTATCTACGAGATTCTCATTTCTTTTTAGCTCAAGGACTAATTATTGTGCAGCATCGAAACTATACTTTAATTATTGCCTATTACTCGAGGACTATAATTCTAATTACTTACTTCATTTGTCACATCATAAACAATCAAAGCCACTTATGCTCCTCTATAGTACATCTTTATAATAGATCTGTATCTCTCTTGGCTATGATATATTCACATAAAAATTTAATTACCCTGCAGTATCCCAGATAAACAAAGTTACTTTGTCTTCATCAAATTGTTTATGCAGCTTTTGAAATGCAAATCCTATCGTTGGATTTGATTCATTAAAGCTATTCTATGCTGCCCTAGTTACCAGACATGTTTTGCCTACTCCTGAATTTCCCACCAATATGATTTTAAACTCTGGAGGCCTCGAATTATTTGAGTTAATTGGTTCTAGCATTGTAGAGGGATAAGGTGATTGAAAATGTGATGATTAATTTTCCATTGAAATTTTAATTTATGATTTGGAGTACTCACATGAATTATAATATATTTATATTAATCATTAATTATCAAAAGACAGGATTATGGATAGAAAGAAACTTATTATCTATGGACTAGGTGTTGCAATCAGTCTCGGTGCATTTTACGCCTTAGCTAAGTATCTTAAAGCAGGAAAGACTGAAGTTGAAGATGAAAACTAAAAACAGTTAATAGCAGACCTAAAAAAATTAGGTATTGTCAGAGTTAACAATTAGGGCATCATCCCATTCGAGATCTTTGTAGAGCTTTTCAGAAGCATTAGCTTGAAAAAATTAAGTCTAAAAGAAGATTAGTGTTGAGGCAAAATAAATTAGATGAATATAGAACTTTGGTTATAGAATAAACATCTCTTGAGGAATAACTATATCAGCAAGTCTCAAATCTAGCTCTAAGCAAAATAGAGATTACTGAAGAGTAATTCCAATAAACTCAATAGGTATTCATGACTTAACCTTAATATCAAAACAGATTCTTTGCTTCGCTATAAAAGGATTCACAATAAGAAACTAGTGAAAAGGGTACTGCCTAAAAATTGACCAGACAAAAGACAGTTGATGCTTTCAAATATGCTGAGGAACTGAAATTTGAATCTATGCAAGCTATTCAAAAGTTTTCTTAAAACCCTATGTCTAAATCTGAAGATTATACTTATGAAATGATTATCTAGCAAACTATTATGGCTGACAGATTATTTGAGAGATATGGAATCGAAGATGATGAATTTAATAAAGCAGTTGCATAGCATAATTTATATTAGGATCCTGAAATACAGAAGATATTACAGGAAAACATGCAGAAGCTATCTCCAGATATGATGCAAAAACTAATGGAAAACATGATGAATTAAGGTGCAGGAGGTAATGGATACCCCGGAGGATACTGAGTACTTCTAGTTGGTATTAAACGATAATTCACTTTAATGATTAACATATTCAGTATTATTTCTTTGTGATATACAATGATATGTGGGGTTTTGGGGTTTTGGGGCTGATACATATTAACCTCTT